CTGAAGATGTTACCTAGCCAGGTAACAAAACGTTTGCAAAAAACAAGCTCAGAGAACCCCAAGGATTCCAAAGTTCTGTTTTGCAAGCGGATTTCTTCTCCCACAACTTTGAGGGAGAATCAATTCAGTCCAATTAAGGTGGATTTTGAGTTTACCTTCATACTATCTAAGGAAAAGCAACTCTACCAGTCAGCCACTTCCATTTTTTAAAAAAAAATAACCTACCCAAACTCTTTCCTGCCCACCCATCCCCCACAACAAAAGTTTTGTATTTGCCTTTATTGCTTTTCCAGTGAACAAGGAACCAGTTGAACTGCTTCTGAAGGTCCTGGTCTGGTTCAGCTGAATTAATTCTTTATGGTATTGTAGGGCAATGCGAGCAGTCACACCTGATCCTGTAGGACTTCGGTCAACCTATTTCAGAAATACATGATTTGCTGTATTTTTGTTCATCGTTCCAATATGTAGTAAACACAAATCAACAACTTTATTCATATCTAAGCCTGTTCACTTTCACCTTTATTCATATCTGCACTTGTCCACTTTCACTTTGGAGTTGATTGTTCCAATTAAATATGCTGGGAAAAGTTATGTTTTGGGCACTAAAACCCCCTAGAATAAGCTTGACTTCAGTTTTTTATTCAGTACTAATATAGAGAGTGTTGGTGCCCATAAAATTAGAATTCTGTCTTTATAAAGTCTGTGGCAGAAGAGAGAAATCTGTGGCACTCCAGATACTATTGAACTTCAACACTCCACCATCATGCTGGCTCGGGCTTTGGAAGTTGTAATTCAACATCTGAAGCTGGGGTATCACACTCAAGGCCCATAGCCCTCCAGGTAATCCTGCCCAGCCTGTGCCTCATTAACACCAGCAGGAAACACCAGCCAGAAGTAGGGCAGCAGCTGGCTGGTCTTAAACAGATACTACAGATCATCCCTTAGGCTAAAGAGAGGGTGGCTATATACCCAGGCTAAACAGGCTACATGCCTAGCTCTGCCTCAAGGGACCAAGGCAGGTGGGCTCACTGGAGAAACAAAGAGGACCAGGCCTCCCCTTATACCTGCTGCCCACTGTCCCTCTGCAACTTTTTCCAACCACACTCTGTAGCTTAACACCGAGGCTACCCAGAGTTCTCCCACTAGGGCTTTTTGGACCTATCGTGGGAGTTGCACCTGGTTGGGAGCCCCAGCACAGAATTAGCCTGTCTCTTTCCTGGCCTTTCCTTTAAAAGCAACCTGAACTTTGAGTAAATTTTCAGGAATTATAGTCTCTTACAAAAAGAGAATACCTGACAATTAGTCAAATTTCAAATTTGCTTTTCTCTTTTAAAGAGCTCTGCCAATATCAGTTTTATTTCTTGGCAGAATAGGAAACTCGGGCATAGAATTCTTGGGAGATAAATTCTTCTGATTGGGTTCAATTACACTGCTATTCAACTATAATCAAATCACATACCATACTGATTTTCTGGTTAATGAAAAAATCACCAAGAACTGGCCAAAGTGAAACGGTGAAAAAGTAGGTCTCTTTCACAGTACTGTTTTATAAAGGCTATGCAAGGACCCTTCCTTTTTTCAATGTGTTCTTACACTAGAGCATTTTTACTTTTTATTAGTAAGGGCCTCATGCTAGAAGCCCAGGGAAAATCACAACTCTCCCTCAGCAATATGCCCGTTCAACTTTTTTTTTAAAGGGAGCTGACCAGCTCCACAACAGAAATATGGTTTTCCTGCATCACTTCCCATTCCATGGTAATCATGAGAGCCTTTCTTCATCAAGCATCATCCACGATAACTTGTCAGAGCTAGAAATGTCTGTTATAACTTCTGGGTCATTTTCTTGAAACCACTCATCAGATTTTTGAGCTAAAATTAAACTACTGAGACACATTTATTCTCTTATAAATGCTAGGGCAAATATAGTGCTTAATGCAGCATTTCTCAACCTTGGCAGCTTGAAGATGTGTGGACTTCAAGTCCTAGAATTCCCCAGCCAGCATTCACCTGGCTGGAGAATTTTGGGAATTGAAGTTCATACATCTTCAAGCTGCCAAGGCTGAGAAACACTGGTTTAATGTATAAAAGCAGAAATCTGGGTCTTATGAGTTCTACACTCCTGGCTCTCCTGCTTTTCACATTGCAGATTCTATTTATTCACAGACTCTTGTGATAAAAGCAGAACTAGGGAACCTCTAGGCCACTGGTCTTGATACAGAGGTCAGGTGAGGCCCCTCTCTCTTCCCCAATCCCCACTTCCATCTCTAGCAAGTGTCGTGGTAGATATATATAAATTATTTCTTCTGCTGTTTCAGAACTCTAGTGGGCCAGGGCCCAGCTGGAGGGCCAATCAGCTGAGGGCTCCTTTTATTAGATAACTCAGGAACTTTCCTTGCATGTGCTTTATTACCTGTGCATCTGCAAATACACATATGTTAGTTGTAGGTTCATCACTAAATTCATCTTTTCCATCTGTCAGTATAGTTCCATAAATGAAAGCCATGTCTTCAATAAGAGGATGGTGTACTTTGAACTAGAAAAAGAGAATACAGGTAGTCCCCGGGTTAAGAATGCCCAGGTTACAGACAACCCATAGTTAAGAACAGAGCCTACTGTAGCAAAATTTGAGTTGAATACACAATGATTTGAGTTAAATACACAATGGTTTGAGTTCATCACACAATACTACTTATATAATAATACTGTTCTGGCTTAATACAAATTCAATTTAAGGACAGACCTTGGGAACGGAACTTATTCTTAAACTGGAACTACCTGTATTTAAAAAATATTTATTAAAATTTAACCAGAGAAAGGATTTAACAGCTCCATTAGGCCTGCGCATAGTATCAATGTTCCTACTTAGGCAGGGATTTGAGCGCTTCACTATGATTTCTTGTTTTTAAAATTAGTTGGAAATGGTTACTGGGAGCCAGGTTTTACATTGTGACTTGGACTAAAAAAGAAATCAGATATCAGAAGACTGATACAGCAACCAAAAAGTCAGAATATGAGAACAGCACATGGAATTCTAAGTAACTATACTAGGGACATTTTATCATGTTTGGTGGACATGTAAAAAAGCTAAAACATTTTGGATACGAATACATACACTTATTCAGAAGATTTTAAAGACTAAAGTACAATTGAAACCAGAGGCTTTTCTTTTGGGACTAATGGACAGTTAGAAAAAAGTCATGGAACTTTGTTTTTGTATATGATGACTACAGCGAGATTATTGTATGCTCAAAAGTGGAAAGGTATGACAACTACCCGCAATGGAGGAATGGTTGGTAAAGATGATGGAACTTGCAGAGATGGCTAAATTGACTTTCTTAATTAGAGAAAAGACAATATCTACATTTATGGCTGACTGGAAACCCCTTACAGATTTTTTATATGAAACAGAAAAAAAATACACTTAGATTTGTGGTTTTGATGATTAGAAAAAAATAGATAATAGAAAAAATGAGCTTTTCTTTTTGTAACCATAGAGTAAGAGATAACTTTGTAATCATATTTGCTGCAAAGGAAATCGAAAGCTTCTTTCTATTTCATTTTATCTTTTTTTCCTGCACCTTTGCCTTTTTTCCTTTCTCCCTTTTTTCCCTTTCTTTATTCTATATTAGTTTTTGTTAGTTTTTATCTTCTCTTTAAAACTTTTAATAACTTTTACATATATATAAAAGGAATTATAACTGAATATACCATAGTTCAGCTTTTGCTGGAGCTCTTTTAAATTTTGATCTTCTACTGCTCTACATAAGAAGAGCCCTGGAAGATTAGATCAAAAGCCATCAAGCCTAGCCCTGGTCACGGGCTAAAGATATATATAAAGGAACTTCAAAGAACTGTAGCTCCTATGCCAGTAGCAATCTTCCTTTGATGTTCCCCAACAGTTAGTATTTAAAGTAAGCTTATGATTCAGGCATCTAACAACTAATTCCCCAACTTACAATTGTTCCCACTTCCAGCAATGCATTCATTCAGAGTGGTCAGACTACAGAAACATGTTTCTAACTCAAAGTTGTTTGATATATTCTTATACTGGAAAAATTATTTCTGACCTGCCTGTAGTGTATTTTGAAAGGGTTAGCTGGATCTTCTTTCATTTCAAATAGCAAATCACTGATTTGCAAAATGATGCATTTAGCTAGTAAACACAATACAAAGCCATGTTAAACATACCTGAGCCTTTACGGCTTCAGTTACTGCAGATGCTGCATCTACCAGATCCCTAATCTTCGAAGAACATACATCAAGGCCCAATTGTTCAGCACTGAGAAATGCATAGAAGGCACCCCCATATCCAACATCAAGGAGGACTTTTCCATAGCCAGGAACATCAATGGTTATATCTGATGATCAAGGAAAAAAAAAACAGGAGAGAGAAGAGACATATAAAGTTATATAAATATTATCACTGCTTATTATTCTTATATTTATTCTTGCTCAATAACCTTCCTAAGGCGAGAAAAACAGAAAAGAATTTTAAAATCTGGAATTCAGATTCCCATCTACCGTTACAAAAACAACTAATGTTTATTCTTCTGTAACATTTGAAGATCCCTCAAATGTGGTGTGATTTCCTCCTAGTGTCTTAGTCATCCTTTTCTGGCTTCAGTTTTATCGGTACCATTACTCAACCTTATTTACAGAGGAAATTACACTGGTGGCAGGATACTAGATACTACTTCTAATTTGTTGTTGAGTTACAAGACATTTCATCTTCAAGATCACAAAGTAAATCAAAAATTATTGAGGTGATTATAGGAACGATAATCACAATGACACAATAGTTAAGATAACATACATGGGAGCAACTGTGAGCTGATTAATACAGAAATCTACATGCATTTAAAAACAAAACGTACAGGCTCACTAAGGTAATCATGAGAGGCAGTGTAGTACAGAGAAGCATTCCATCCAAGATTCAAAGCTAAAGCCTAAGGAATGGCAGAAAAGAGGTTAATTTCAGTAGCTTTACATTACCAATCACCAAAAGCATGCAAGTCAGAATACAAATTTACAACTTTCCAATTGAGATATATCACTTTTGTATCAGTTAAAATTTGTAGCTGTACCGAAAGAATTATTGGATTATGATGTTAGTAAAGATGCCAACATTTGAACTGAGATGCCTTACTCTCCTCCCAGTACGTATTTAGTTCCTATGATTCTTTATGGAAAAAGAACTGTAACCTATAGAGGTCTTATTCGTTTATTATTTATACCAGTGTTACTTCTCTCGGGACCCCTTCCTACTTTTAAAAATTATGGAGGACCCCAAAAGAGCTTTTGTTAGTATGGGTTATATTAATCAATATTTACCTATTAAAAATTAAGTGACATATCTGCTGCCGCTACCACTTCTCATGATTGTTTGATGGGATATTTGATATTGTATTCTTTTTCAACATAGGATGGCAATCAATTTTAATTTCACAGATCCCTGAAATCTTGGGGGACCCCCAGGGGTCCTACGACCACACTTGAAAAAACACTGATTTACACCAACATAACCAAAACTCCAGGGCAAATATGGATTCAGAAGACTTCTTGTCTTAAGGCTAATGATCACCTGAAACTAGCTCTCATAATGGCTTATACACATCAGTTTCTTGCTTTCTCCCAGAGGAAGAGGAGAGGCTGTAGCATCATCTCCTATAGTCTGCACCACAATCAGTTGAAAACATTGGTTTGGTACTCAATAGCAGAGTTGTGTCTAATAGAGTTGAGAAAACTGCTCAGCAAATATTCAAGGACATGGAGAGGAAATCTCTTTGGGTAAAAAGTAAATCTTGGTATACTAACAGCAAAGATAGTTGAACAGTGAATACAGCTAATATACATATGTAAGCAAAAGAATGACCAGAAGATTGACTGGAAGATGGAACAGTAATTTAATTGCAACTCAGAGCATGCTTATTATACATAAAAACCCAGCAAATTCACTGGAGATTACTACTGAGTAAACACCTTCAGGAATGTATTATTCATCCATGTTCAAGTGCCTATAGAGAGCATGTCTGCAGATACATAAATGCATAGATATGGATGAAAATGCTTGCACCAGTGAAATAAGAAAGCAAACTGAACATGGGTGGCCTTTAACAAGGGTTGGTACAGAAACTAAACATAGCTCATCATGTAAAATAATGTCAGGATAGTAAACAAGAGGGTGATATTTGTACCAAAAATAGCTGAGTAGAGATGAGAAAGAAACTTGTTTAGTTTGCATTTTAATGTGAACCACTTTGTTAAATTTCATATTTTCACACGAGCACTCACATAGAAATGCACATTCATTTCCATGCAAAGATGTTGAAGAATTCACAAGCCAATGCAAAAATGGGTTAGATCCCTAAATGGGATAGCTCCATGAATGGAAACCAAAAAACTGAATTTGACAAATTAGCCCAGTTCTAGTGATGGCAATATATACAGCTATTACATTTGGAAAGATGACTTCTTTCCGTTTGAATTTAATGTCTGCTTTCCTCATAGGAAGGAAAAACCGTAGACTTCTGTTGGCTGCTTGACCAACACAGCAAACCCAAATTCACACCCTGGTCACCTCCCAGATGAATTACTATACCACGCTGTACATAGGGCGGCCCTTGAAGAGGATCCAGATGCTACAGCTGGTGCAAAATGTGGTGGTGCAGGAAGTTATGTGCACTCCAAGATCAGTGCACATTACACCTCAGCTTCGCGAGCTGGGTTGGTTGCCAGTTTGCTTCTGGGTTCAATTCAAGGTGCTGGTTATGACCTATAAAACCCTATGTGGCATGGGGCTGGGTTATTTGAGGGACCACTTCTCCTATTACATCTACCTATCCCATCAGATCTGGCAGAAGGGGCACATTGCGGTCCCCATCTATGAAGAGTTCCATCCGATGGGACCCAGGAGGAGAGCCTTTTCTGCTGTGGAACCTGCCCTCTGGAACATCATCTCCCCTGAGGTTACATTGGCCCCAGTCTTGTAGACTTTTTGGAAGTCCCTAAAGTCATGGCTGCACCATCAGGCCTAGGGATCTGGGGGACATGGGGAGCCTGCAAGATGGTTGCACTGTCTGTGAGCTGTAGGCTGGCACTTTCCCACATTTTTACGTTTTAATTTATTTATATGAGTTTGTCTTTGCTGTTTTAACTTGTGAGCTGCCTAGAGTCACATGAGATGGGTGGCTATATAAGCATACATACATAAATGCATGCATGTATGCAGCTGGAGTCAATTAAAGAAGGGTAAAACGTTAAGTCAGCACTTCTCAACCAGACATCTTCCACACCCGTGGACTCCAACTCCCAGAATCCCCGAGCCAACATGGTCACCGTCTAGAATTCTGGAAGCTGAAGTCCATAGACTTCTGGAAGTTGCTTCAGTGAAGACACAGTCTTAGCCCAAGAGTGGGTCAGGGTAGGGCCAGCAGGGACCGCGAAGGTCGTCTCCCAACAGGGCACCCGTATCCCTACCGGTAGCCGCGGCGAAGGCGGGCACGCTGTGGAAGCGAACGCGGCTTCCACTGCGCTGTCCGTCCCAGGACGCAAAGGCTGTGACGGGCCCGCAGGGGCAGTGAATGGCGACGGCGGTCTCGCCGGGAGAAGGCGGGGGCTGGCAGAGGCCGTAGTCGAGAGCAAAGCGGCCCAGACAAAGAACGGCGTGTCCGCACATGGAGCTCGCGCCGTCGTTGTGCACGAAGAGAGCTCCGAGGGCGGCTCCGGGCAGCTCGCTGGGCACCAGCACCGCGCCGTACATGTCGCGGTGTCCCCGGGGTTCGTGCATCAACATCCGCCTCACAGCGTCCAGCTCCGGGGAGTCCAGTAGGCGACGCCGCCGAGTCAGAAGGGGCAACCCAGGCGCGGGCTCCAGCAGTCCCAGCCCGCCCGGCACCACCACTCGGAGTGGCTCCCCTCCCGCGTGCATCTCCACGGTGCGGATGGTCGGGCTGCCTGGCGCGCGCGGCGGCAGCCAGTCACCGCGGTCGCCCGCGGACATTCTGAACGGCTGTTCTTAACCGCAACGCGTACCGAAGGCTTAGGCCCGCGCCACTCCCCCCTCCCTTCCTCTGGCCCGCGCACCAACGCGTCACGAATGGGGGGGGGGCGTCATCGGAATGGAAAAGCCAAGGCCGCAGTTGCTGATTGGCCAGGCGGAGGATTCTCCATGGGAGAATTGGAGGGAATAACCTTTTTTAAAATTCAGCTATTGGGTGATAACGTTGATGGTAGAGGGTTAGTAAGGTAAACATAGAGAAAGGAGAGTGTCATGCACCATCACAGTTTTGTTTGTACTTTGGGGTTAGAGATATACTGGGTTTTCATTCCTTGTTATTATGTTGATCGTTAGTAATATAATGGAGTTCAAATGAGTTTATGCACGTTTGTGGCAATGTGCCATAAGCTTTCTGTGCTCGGGGCCCCGAGTGTGTGAAGTTGTGGTTGTGCTAGCAACTGTCGACTCCGATATCTTCCTAAGCTGCTGTATATTTTAATTTTTGTATTTATGATGGGAATTGTTTTTACCTTATTTTAAGATTGTTTGCTGCCCAGAGTCACTTGCTGAGATACATACAGTATGGCCATACAAATACAATACTTGTTGAGACACATACAATATTGTATAGCCATGCTAACTAAATAAAATGTGGTTCCATAATAATGCTGATTTATAATTACGTTTCAACATGGTGGGGAGCCACACAAGCCGCAGATGCTAAGAGGGAAAAAAACAACTTTTTAAGACATACAAAGGTAATGTAACATATAACGAAGGTCATTCAGCTCCATTTTTAAACACTTAAGCCATCACCACCCTTAATAATATTAATTAGTCTTTCCATGACAGAAGTAGAGAGTCAGTTCATAAAACAGCATTTCTTAATTTCAGCAACTTTAAAATGTGTGGATTTCAAATCCCAGAATTCCCCAGCCAGCATGCATGGCTGGGGAATTCTGGGAGTTGAAATCTACACATGTTAAAGTCGCTGAGGTTGAGAAATGCTGTCGTAAACTGAAAATGAACACATTAGTGATCTGAGATTATAAACTAGAGTTACTCTCTCTTTCCAACATCAGAGTCGAATCTTTTTGCTGGGCCCCAGCCTCAGTGAAGCCATAGTTCTTTGTATAGATATAATCCAAATGTTAGCTATATAATTCAAAAATACATTCACATCTTCTTTAAAACTTCTTTAAAACTGCACTGGTCTTCATGACACCACATTAATAGACTTATGGATATTGCTCCAAAGCAGGACAATGGTGAGACAAACCCCTATCTTAGGAGAAAGGGCAGATGTGCACTTTCTGCTTGGCCCCTTGCCAGTAGAGTCACTCACTGCTTCCTGATGCAGGAACAGATGACGTCCTCCTCTTCAGAGTCCCAGCCCAGCCCATAAGGTGATAATTTATATATTTACTTTTAAAATTAAATTTAGAGGCTACCTGTCCTGAGACATCGCTGGACAGCTTGCATTTTAAAAGTCAGTAAAAACAAAAATGAAAAACCATAAGCATTTGGAAAGGAACAGACAGAAAGGAACACCCTAAAAAAAATCACCTCAGAGAAAAAACTGAAGGGCTGAAGAGCACCAACCCCCAGGCCTGGGAGCAAAGCCAAGTTTCTAATAACTTTCAGAACATGGTGAAGATGGGAACCATATAGATCTCTAGGGAGATACTGTATCAGAGAGCAGGCACTGCAACAGAGAAGGTGCACTTCCTAGATCGCAATAAATGACAAAACATTGCAGAACACCATGTTCTATAGTTAGCTGACATTTTAACAACATCCTGAAAGCTATGAAGGAGGAGGCCAGCCTGATCTTCAGCAGGTGACTGTTCCAAAGCAGTGAAAGAAACTTAGATTACTTTTGAGTCAGTATTACTTGTTTATTTATTTATTAAATGTATATGCCACCCATGTCCCCCAGCCACTCTCTGGGTGGCTCACAATTAAAATCAAACATTAAAAACAGTAAAAATATAAATATCCATATTACATTAGCTAAAACATAATACTATATAAAAAGACTATATACAATTCAAGATGGCTGGGGGGCAGAATCAATTACCGCACCAGCTGCTTCCAACAGTGGGGGCCCCCATCAGGCCCCCAGGCCATCTGGCATAGCCAAGATTTCACACTCTTCCGGAAGGCCCTGTATTATTATTAAGAAGGTATTATGCAGTCAAGAATAATTTTTAAAAAATGATTGAGTCAGAATCATAATTTACTTTATCCTATTCCTTAATACTGTACTATGGATAATATTATATTGTTGCAACAGATTCAGCTGAGAGGTTGGTAATTTACCAATGTTTCAACTAGTTCCCAGTATCTTTGCTTTATACAGTTCAATGAATATTTTGTATCAAGTGAACAGGGGGAATTAGGCTCCTGTTTAGCATAAAAATCTTGCATATGCATGACAAAAAGTTTCTTAATTGGCTTCCTCAAAACTATTTGTCTTCTTTTTCCATGAAACATAAACGGTAAGATGCTGATGTATGAAAGTGTCCCAAAAGAGCAATATACTTTCAGAATGCTTGTTTATAGGGGAAAAAAACCTTCTAACTTTTGTTGCATCTTTTTCATAAAAACGGATCCTTTAATAATCACATAAATGGGATCTCGTTTTATAATATTATAATGCATGATTTGGTGTGACAACAAAGCTACCTCTTTCTAATATCCACTCATAATTCCTAGATGCTGGTACAGGTTGGTGGGGAATATAAACTAAACTAAACTAAACTAAACTAAACTAAACTAAACTAAACTAAACTAAACTTGTTGTTGTTCAGTCGTTAAGTCGTGTCCGACTCTTCGTGACCCCATGAACCATATTGCGCCAGGCCTTCCTGTTC